AAGAATCGTTGAGCACCTTTGATTCTTGAACCGAGTCTCTAGACAGAGTCTAGATTTTCAACCTAACACATTCATGATCGAACTTTGTGAGATGCTTCTAAATTAGAGCTGAAGAAGATCTTCAATATTTTCTAATTCTATATTACAAAATTTGTTGTAGTTGTTGTTGTTGTTGTACTCGTTGCATTTCCGCATTTCGATATGAAATACACTTTAACTATGTGCACATATTGACTATATTGAAGATTGCATTAATTATTATGGAACAGGTTTCAAATAATAATATTAATCATGTTTTGTACAGTGGAACTAGAGCATAACAACGAACATCGCTCTCTCTCTCTCTCACTCACTCTGTCTCTCTCTCTCACTCACTCTCTTGCTGTGCGTCATTCTGCTTCAGTTCGTGTCTCTTTCTGTGCCGCTTCCGTCTCGCTTTGTCTCGCTGGTTGATTGTGGCACGCGCTGTTCCCTAGTTCATTATTATAGTATTTATGCATACATTTATATATAAATATATATATATTGATATATTTATACGTATATATACACATAGTATTTGTATAGTACATATTATATAGAAAGTTATATACAGAGACCGATGTACATTCAAAGCTCATGTAAAAGCTACACTATACGAAACGCATTAAAAACTTAAAATATACGCTAAAAATAATAACAGTTGCACAGGCGCCCTGCCCCGAATCCTGAGGCGAAACGCTCTTGGATTCGACTTTAGATTGGAGCATCCACTCAGTGGTCATCGGTTCTCTTCACATTGGAGCATCCACTGGCCGTCAGTTGCCGCGCAGATGCCGTCGTCGCCTGGTCTGCTAATTGTATTAAATTCTGATCTTGTTCCTCGTTTGTTTGTGATTTTCTTATTTGTATGCTGTTTGATTAGTTCACCTCACTTCACGGCTTCGGCAGCATCTCGACAGCTGGCGACATGGCAGCGCTCACATTGGCGTTGGCATTGGCCGCCGACGGCGTCACGGATGTGGGTGCCGTGGGGTCAGCTGCATCTCCGCCATAGCATCGTCGCTTGTAGTCGCCAAACAAGTCCGGCCGGTGCTGTAGGTCGCGCTGCGGATCGATGTGTACGGATTGAGTAGTGTTTCTGTCGTATAGAAAGCAACTTCATTGAATCTAAACTTCATTTTTGTTCTTGATTTCGAGATGGATATTGACGGACTCACCTGGTCTTCGTTAGCACGGTGCAGCCGTTCTCGACGACCATGCTGAGCGAGTAGAGTGTGGCCAGGTTGAGCAGGCTATCCTGCTCGTAGAGCTCAATGTCCGGCAGACGGATCTGAGTCTGGCGCGCATCCTGCAGGAAGCGCGCAAGCCGTTCATTAACGCCTAATTTTATGCTGAAACCGGGCCGATCGTTGCCATTGATGCGTCGGCAGCCGGCGCGTATCTCGCGCACCTCCAGCATTTGCAGGGGCGGTGACGAGGAGAGGAATGGATTGGATGTCTCACCGGACATCTCGCTCTCGATCTGCTTCACAATGGTTGGCATGCCATTCATGCTGCGCTCCGTGTCCATGCAGATGTTGACGTCAATGAAGCCAACGCTTCGGTTGGCGCCCCCGCCGCTGATCTCAATCGGCTCTGAGCTGGCGGCCAGCTGAAAGCGTGACAAATCCTGCAAAGCATCTGTAAGCGGAGGCGACTGCGAGGTGCCGCCGCCGTAGCTATCTGTGAAAGGCATCGTTGCTGTGGCCTCCGTGCCGGACATTAGCGTGTCATCCTCGCCAATTGTATCATCGGAGCGTATTTGGGGTAACAGGGATTTCTTGGTCAGCTTGCGCTTGGGATCGTATTTGCCGCCGGGGCCAAATTCGTTGCCGGGCCAATCGGTCAGCTCGTCGTCGCCCTCGCGATCCGTATCGTGCAGTCGATGGCCATCATCGCTGTCCGACGAGGAGCTCAGCGAACTGGAGCTAAGAAAATCGTACAGCTCACTGCAGTCCATTGACTGCACCTGCATCGATTGCGGCGTCTGGCAGAAGCGGCGCCTGCGATGCGACTTCGTCGTGGAGCCACTGCCGTGGATGTGGCCATAATGCGATTTCTTGCGATGCATGTGATTGAAGTCTGTGATTGCGCTGTCCACAGGAAGCTGCTGCGGCATTTTATCCGAGTGATTCAGCAGCGTCTCAATGTCGTTGACAGGCACAAGTGTTTCCATGCCGAAGCCACCAGGGCCAGCGCAACTGGCTGAACTCTCGTTCAGATCTAGCTGCTGTTGTTGTTGCTGCTTGGCCGCCGTTTGTGCAGATTGGAGCAGCACCTGCGCCTCTGCCTGTTCCGGCTCCAGGCCCTCCTCCATGTTCGATGTGTTGTCAGTCTTTTGTGCTTGTTGCGTTTGATTTTTCGCAATGCGATTGATTTTGGAGAGCAGCCCCTTGTTAAGCGGCAGTAGGCGGTCGCTGTGCGGCTTCGATGTGGATGAGTAGCTACGGGGTCGCATCCTATGGTACTCCTCCATGTGCGTGTAGCGCGGCATGCTCGATGAGTGTAAATTGCTGGAGACGGCACAGCCGCCACCGTCGCGTGCAACGCCTGCGTCGTGATCGCATTCGTGATAGCGATCACGATTGGAGCGCTTCCGTTTGCCGCAAAAAAACAAATGCGATCGATTTCCACTCTCCGCCTTCAGCAGACGCTTACGTACTGTGCCCGTGCCGGAGATGCAGCCTCCTAGCATGCCCGGATGTAGCGGTGACTCCGTGAAGCTATGCGGCGACACAGCCAGGTTGTTGTCTTTACTAAACTCAAACTCCATGGACATACGTTTGATCTTTCGTTTCCGCCGTGAATTTGGCTTGTAAAAGCTACAAAAACAAAACGCAATTAATTGGATAGGTATCCCAGCAGGCTCATCCACTCACCGCGCTGGACTAAAATTGGTTTCGTTCAATGAGTCCGACTCGAGGGCTCCTGTGCCCATGCGAACGGCAGCTGCAGCATTGAGTGTTTTGACAGGAAGACGCAGTGGAAGCATTGCCTCTGCTTTGTCATCCGAATCGCTCGCTGGCAGCATGTCAACGTGTATATGAGGGTCCAGACCATCCACATTCGCATTGGCATTTGAATGTGCTCCGTGTCCGAGCCCGTGTGCATTGTTCAATGTGTCTGTGGGGCTGCTCGACGAATCCTCTGTGGGCTGCGGCGCACAAGCTGCAGGTGAAATGAAGTGGAAGTGAAGTGGTTTCCATGATTTCAGAGGGAGGGGTACATATATCTTGGTTGAAATACTTACGCAAATTACCCGTTGATCGAGTTCTTCGACGCGAGCCCCACCTACCGACGCCGCACGCCCTGTCCATGAGCGATGTCTCCTCCAGGGCGAGGGTCAAGTCGTGCGAGAACTGATCCATTTGCACCAGCACACCCAAATATCAATTGCGTTTCATTAAATTATTGCGTGTGCGAACGCAAAAAATGTAGTAAAAAAAAAATATGAATCTAAAGACAAGCCTCAACAATTGGCAGCAGTTTACTCCGATGGCAATATCGATTTTATACTTTCTATCGGCAGCATCTTTTGTTTGTTCTCTGGTCACATTGAGCTGCAGTGAAAGCAAAATCGGTTAAAGTATGTTGACCGACGTTAAAATGATTCTATACATGCTATAAACCAGATATAATTAATTTCGTTAATATTAGTTAATCTGTCTGGAACTTCCATATTATTAAAATTTGATAAAACATTGTATATAAATTTATTCTATTTAGTTAAAGATATGAAAAATAACTCTAATTTTAATTGTGTTGAAAAATTAAACATTAAACAGTAAAATATTTATATAAAAACAATAGAAACAACTAGGTTTATTCATAGTTGCACAACAAAATAAACATGTACAAATTAATTATCTGGTGAAAATATGCATAAAGTATCTAACGTCATATAACATAAACTTTCTCTATAAATCAATAGGATTTGAACCCAATGCTTTGGGTCACTTTTGAATAAGGAAGTTTTATCGTTATGAGTCCAATAACCCCATTTAGCTGAATTTTAATTATCGATAAAAATTAGTTCCTGTCTTTTTCCCTCATTTTATTATGTTGGTATTTTTATGAGTTATTTTTTTCTTAAATGCATTTGGTCACATTAATGCATTGACATAGTGAAATGCAGAAGCTCATGTTCGAAAATAAGTTTATCCGATATATTTTGCTCGCCTACTTGACAATTTGTTTGAATTGACGTAAATTTTGTTACAATCGTAAACTCGATACGTGCAACAAGTGCCAGCCAGCAACAACAAGAATTTGTATACGCAGCAGCCGCTACGTTCAGTCTTTATTCTGCCGGTTGCCAAAAGAAAAAAGGGAAAAACGCCGCTTTTTCAATTAGTTTGTTGTAAATTGGTATAAGCTGTTTTAAAAATGAGTCGCCGACGCGCACACGATACCGAGGATGAGAGTTTCGGTAAGTAAAGCTGAACTTATCGTTGCAGCGAAACTCTAGAGCCAATTTATGTTTGCAGACCACAGGCGAAACAAGCGACGCCGCGTCTCAGAGAACCAGGAGATCGAGGACCGCTTGGAGTCGCTGATATTGCGTGTGGGGGAGCGTAGTACCTCGTCGGTGGAGTCGAATCTCGAGGGTCTTGTCTCAGTGCTTGAGGCCGATCTGGGCACATTCCGTTTGAAGATCCTGCGCATTCTGTCCGATTGTGCAGTCCGCATGCCCGAAAAGTGCACCGTATACACGACCCTGGTGGGACTGCTTAATGCCAAGAACTATAAATTCGGTGGCGAGTTCGTCGATCATATGGTGAAAACGTTTAAGGAGTCTCTCAAGCTATGTCGCTGGGACGCAGCACGATATTCACTTCGTTTTCTAGCCGACTTGGTCAACTGTCACGTCATCTCGGCCACCAGTTTACTACAGCTGTTGGACACAATGATCGATGTGTCCAATGAGGACACAGTGCCGCAAGTGCGCCGCGATTGGTTTGTGTTTGCGGTGCTCTCCACTCTTCCGTGGGTGGGCCGTGATCTATATGAAAAGAAGGAGTCGGCACTGGAGTCCCTACTGTTGCGTATCGAGGTGTATTTGAATAAGCGCTCGAAGAAGCATCACAATGCGCTGCGCGTCTGGTCGTCGGATGCGCCACATCCGCAGGAGGAGTATCTGGACTGTTTGTGGGCGCAGATACGCAAACTGCGGCAGGACAACTGGGCAGAGAAGCATATACCGCGCCCCTACCTCGTCTTTGACTCCATACTGTGCGAGGCACTGCAACATAATTTGCCGCAGATCACGCCGCCGCCCCATCACGCTTCGTTTGAGTATCCAATGCCGTGGGTGGTCTATCGCATGTTCGACTATACCGATTGCCCCGACGGACCCAATCTGCCGGGTGCCCACTCAATCGAGCGTTTCCTGATTGAGGAACATCTGCATCATATAATCGAGACGCATCATCATGAGCGCAAAGACTGCGCTGCACAGCTGCTCAACTTCCCATTCAAGCACAAGATCCCCTTGGAATACTGCATTGTGGAGGTCATCTTTGCGGAGCTCTTCCATATGCCGACGCCACGCTATCTGGACATTTGCTATGGCTCCATACTAATCGAGCTGTGCAAACTGCAGCCAGGCACCTTACCTCAGGTGCTCGCCCAGGCTACCGAGATCCTGTTCATGCGCATCGACTCCATGAACACCTCGTGCTTCGATCGCTTTGTCAACTGGTTTAGCTACCATTTGAGCAATTTCAAGTTCACCTGGTCCTGGGACGAATGGGACAGCTGCCTGCTGCTCGATGCTGAACATCCGCGTCCCAAGTTCATTCAGGAGGTGCTCCAAAAGTGCTTACGGTATGATGATAGGCTTCATTACGTTTTGCACCTATTGCAAATTATAATTGAATGTGCTTCATTTCCAGTCTGTCCTACCATCAGCGCATTACCGAAATGATGCCCACAACATATGCAAAGCTGATTCCGGCTCCACCTGTGCCCAACTACAAGTACACGAACGAGGAGGCTGGTAAGTTCCAAATGCTTTAGCCTAGTTGACAGCGCTCAGCTACTGAGCAAATTCAATCAGTTTATGTCGTTCCATTCGTGATTGAAGTTTTAGCCAGGCTTGCTTTGTTTAACGCCATGCCAACTGGAGTCAAGTTATTTTCTTGTCTATATAAATTATCGATATTCGGATTTCAAACCCAGTCGCCCCACGAAAACAACTCTACTCGCTTTTTTGACATAAAAATAATATATAATATGTGTAGATTTATTCAGTGCTCCACATTAGAATCTATGTTGATATACAAGTTGAATCAAGTAAAAAAAAAATATTATTATATAATTAAAATTGGAAGCTCGGCTGATATAGGTTTACTCTGCCTATTAATCGTGTGCTCGTCTTAGTCCTAGACCTTGATAAGCCATTCAGCCGCTTCCAGTTTTCTTAGACGTAGAATTCTTCGCATTTGGGCATGTCTAGCTGCGCTTCACCTCGTTCTCATCGTCATCCACTATGATGGGTATCTCCTCGCCGTTCTCGCCCACCTTGATGCTGACGGACTTGCTAACCGATTTCTGGGTGAGCACCTCAATGACTTCGCCAGCTCCCTCAGGCGATGCAACTGTGCTGCTGTTACTGACTGCAGGCATAGCTGTAGTTGTTGTCGTTGCTGCTTCTGTTGTTGTAGTCGTTGTTGTTGGGAATGCGGTTGGTGGCATAAAGGCCACCTTAGACTCATGACGATGACTGCTCTTGGCTCTACTGTCCAGCCCGGTGGCATTTTCCTTGCGGCGCTGCTTCCACTTGGGCACTGCCGGCTGTTCGGTGGTTGTTGTCGTCGTTGTTGATCTGCCCGCGGTGATGCGTGGCGTCGTTCGATAACGACTCAATGCACGCAGCGGCGTAAAGCTGGTCGAGGTGGACACGAAGCTGGTGCGGCTCGTGGGTGCAGCTCGCGTCGGTGCCATGGGTGTGCTTGTTGCGCTCTCTGTGGTTGTGCTGGTTGTTGTTGTTGCTGCAGGCGTGGTCGCCAATTTGTGCTGCTTTTGACTTCCAGCGGGTCGCTGCTCGGACTGCTGCTGCTGTTGCTCCTGCTGTTCCCCTTCCTGCTCAAGTAGCGTCTGCTCCTCGCTGTCTGAGTTCGACTCAAGCTGGGTCTGTGCCAAGTTTTGTTGCTGCAGTTGCGGCTCTTTGTTTGTATAGTTGTGTGGCGTGTCCAAGTGCAGCACATCCACCGGATGCTGGTGCACATAGAGCGGATCCGGCTCCGAGTAACGATAGACAGTCTCCTCAAGCGGCTCGCTCTGCACAAAGGACTTCTGCTCCTCCTCCGTATCGGCAGTGGCGCTTGCATAGATCAGCAGCGGCGACAGCTTGGACGAGTGGTACTTGGATGACTGTTGGTAGCCTGTTTAGACGTTATGGAGAAGTTAAGGACAAGAAAGATTTACGAGCAAATCCAAATAGAATTAAAATAACTACGTCGTAGCAGGATCATGGACCAGCCCTAGGTTTACCTCCTTTGGGTAACAACGCAATTGCATATAGAATAGCAAAAAATAGGCGTCTTAGTTACCTGCATAGTTCTGTGGCACGCGCACAAGTGGATGCGGTTCCTGATCCGGACGATCATCCTCGCCTGGCTCCAGGGACTCAGCCGAGGCTGTTTCGCGGTGCCCTGACAGCTGAAAACCACCGTGTGGATCGTGCTGATAGTGTGGCTGATGATGGTGATAGGCTGGTGATGGGGTAGTGGGTGCGGCAAGGGTTGTCAGTTCCGGAGCGAAGCTGGATGGACGAAAGGCGAGATCCGTCTGCCCAGATGGGTTGCCATCGGTCAGGCCATTGGGCGTCATATAGAAATGATGATGGAAATGATGGGTGACTGGCGGATTAGGTGGTGGGCCAGCTGGCTCAGTGGCGCCCAGCTCGTTGGGCAGTCCATAAGGATCCGGCGGAGTGGGCGAACCAAATTTGACCGGATAACTGGGTCGGTACGTGGTGGCCGGAATGAAATTGGGACGCAAGCCCAGATTGAAGAGGCCCGGAAACAGGTCCAGCTTGGGCGGACCCTTCGCTACATCCTCCTTCAAATACTCACCGATGTTCAGGAGATTGGGTGGTGGCGGTGCCTGGAAGATGCCACGCACAAATGTCGCCTGCGGCTGACGATCCTGGCGCCGCTGGGCCAGTGCCTGCTCTTGCGCTTCCTGGTATGTGTGTCGGCCAAAGCTCTGCGGATAATCCGACTCCTTCTGGATGTAGTTCTGCGGCGGCCAGGCCGTGCTCGTGGCCAGCGGAGACACGCTGAACTTTAGCTCGTAGTGGAAGCGCTGAGGGGAATGCCGAGTAATGCTATCCCGATGTCGAATGCGCTGGACCCGCCACAGCGCCAGGATCTGGCTGCCTGGTGTGCCGCCCTGCTGGGCACTGGCGTGGCCCTCGACAAAGCGGTAGCTGCCGTTCGACGACAGCTGCTCCAGCCGCCCAGTGGCCAGCGTGACAATGTCGCCAAAGCGCGACTGGCTCTGCTGGCCATGCTCTGGATCGGGTACATAGGGCGTCTGCAGAAAGTCGTGATAGTCGTGCAGCTGGCTGCCGCACAAACGGTTAGTGGAGGGTGGGCGGGCAAGGATGATGAAGAAGAGGAAGAAGGATGTTGCACTGGGACGTACCTCAGGTTGCCGGCAGCGGCGCCCATAGCGGCGTCTGTGAAGAGCGTCACATAGGTGACATGCTTCAGGGTGCGCTCCCAGCTGCGCTGGACTGGCGTTGACTGCGTCGACTCCTCCTCCTCGTAGTAGATGCGTTTMCCGTTCTGCTGGAGCGCCTGTTTCGGTGTCAGCACCAGATCCCGTCCAGCGCCCACAATGGCCAGCGCCTGCTGCAGTTGCAGCTGCAGCTGCAATGGTGCAATGGAACAATTAGGAATCAGTGCAACCACTCAGCAGCGACGCCACTTACGATTGCCATGAGTATGCAATAGAATTTCCACATTTTCACATTAACAAAAAGAAGCAAAAAAAAAAAAAGAAAAAGAAAACACACAGAATAAACAAACGAATCTTTGACAGCTCTTTGGACAACGCGACGTTTGTGCTGCGCGCGCACGTTAGCTCGACTGAAAGGCGTTCACGACGTGCGCACCGCTAATAACAAACCCACAGACAGAGGGGCGAGCCACCAAATGTTGGTGCTGCTTTCGTTGGAGCAGCCAAGCGGCGCATCGCCAGCGGCGGCAAATTTCGCAATCTTAGGCAACGGCCGCGTTTCTACCAACGGCAGCAGCAGCAGCAGCAGCAGCAGCAGCAGCGACAGCGACAACAGCAGCAGGTGGCTCTGTTGTGTCGGTGGTGCGGGTGGCATGAGGTGCATGGGTGGCATGGCTGACGCGCTTTTATGCAACACTTGCGGATGTTTAGACCCGCTTCAAGCCAAAAACCAAAAGCCAAGCAACCCCAGGGCCCCAAGTCTAATCCACATGACCCCGCCCACCCGCGCAGCTGGCGAAGCAACTTGAGACTTGTGGAGCACCCAGCCCACAGCACTTCTCTAAAGATTCTCGGTGAGATATGCCTGCTCGCTTCGCTGAAGTTCAATTGTGGAACTGGCCACCAACTGATGCCGTTCCGATGAGATCCGATTGTCGTTCTCATTGCGTTTCAGTTCACCTTGTCTCAGTTGGTTTTCGTAGAGGGCAAAGATCGCATAAGCGATGGGCCGCCCGGGAGGTTGGACGGACGGTAGCTGGAAAGCCGTTTGTGCCATTCGAACCAAGACGCGAAAAAGAAAGCTCATCATCGTAAAGACTTAACTGATGGCAGATTAACGAGCCTCTTGGACGCTGTATGAACATCTCCCAGATTTCGCAGTTCAAGACCATTAAAAGGTCTTCTGCGCACATGAATTTATTCATATATAGTATCGCTGGGAAGGCTTTGACATGAGTAAAGCTTTAGCATTTGATATAAGAGAATAAAGCTTCAAGAACTTATTTGTCTAGGAATATAATCCCTTCTTCTATGAGCTGACTGTGCGGAATGTCTTGTAACCTTGCTATAAAGCTCTTCCAAGAGTCAAGTCTAGGGCCTTGTTCACTAGCTGTGCCGCTTCCCATGGCTGTCACACATGCAAATTAATCATAAAACTATGCGAACCGTAGTTCGACTCGTGTATGTGGGTGTGTGTGTGTGTGTGCTCTCTTATGTGTGGTTCCTCTCCTCTAATGAGCTTATGTTCTTGCACTTCCGCTTTGTGGTTGGCATTCGTAAACGTGGCTCCGTGACACGCGTTCGCCTCTACTTGAGATACTACGTATTGATAGTCCGGCTGACCGCGGAGCGCGGAGGAAGCAAATAAAGTAGCCACAGCTGGACACGTTGCGCTCGATGGAGCAGCGCCCTGATCTTTGAAACGCCCTGCCTTGGACATGCCCAATTTGAGCTGAAAGCCAAAGATCCGTGAAAATATACAAATTTGTAGCATCAAGTCAAAGCACATGCTAATAATCTAGGGTGCATACCCTGTAATCGAGAAAGGCATCACTGGAGAATGCCTGTTTGCAATCGATCTTCGGACTGAATCTCATATATGTATAAGTGAGTTAAAGCCGATTTTGCGCAGTAATTCTACATAATTATATGATCATTGATTTATTTGAAGGCTCACAAGTTATCGATCAGTCAGCAAATCGATAAGTATTGATGATGTTCTCGATACATTCGATTAATAATTGAATAATTGAATTTATGCTTTAGTTTGGCTGCGAGACTTTCGAATATATAGGGTATTTTTGGCCGTACACCCGCTTCTTTCTATAAGCTACAATAGAGCTGTACTGCTTGAAGTTTCCAGCGAGTTCTGCTTCTGCTGTGTGAACTTTGCTGGCTGATCTTGACACGTTCTGCTGTGGACAATGTGATTCTTGAGATGCTTAGGCTTTGTTCAGCGCGGTGGCCATGTGGTCAGAGCTGCCTGGCAATGGGGTCGCGCTGCTCAGTTCCGCATTGTCTGCATTAATGGCTTTAAGTGCCACTCAATCGACTTGCGTATGCGCGTTGAGCACGCTTTTCATTGACATAATCGACTCAAGTGCCAATAAATTGCATGTAATGGCAGCTGTCATGAGGTGTACAGCCAGGTAACTTGCGGTAAACCAGAACGTGGCATAGGGAGTGGGGTGGGGGGATGGGTCGGTCATTAGTAACGCATCAGGCGGCAGCAGGCGCTTGGGCTTGGGAGTCGTCCGCTCTGCAGCTCGTTGCCGGTTGGTTCCACGCGGCGGCGCACCGAACGCAATGCAACTGGCGCAAGCGAAAGTGTCAACTGTAGCAGCAGCAGCAGCAGCAGCAGCAGCAGAAGTAGCAGCAGCAGCAGCAGATCCACCGAAATCTTTGCTCGAAATAAGTGCATAATGAATAGTTGCATTGAAAAATGATTTCCGTTTCGTTTCGTTTCGATATGCAGCCAATCTGCCCGGCATAACGGTTGCCCTACAGCTGGTCGGCGCCATCCGGCAGAAGTGCACACCCGAGGAGGTGGTCAACATACTGAAGGAGATACCCAACACCGGCTACAGCGGCGAAGAGATGTCCGATGGCAGCTTCAATGCACTCAAAATCGATGTCTTTGTGCAGACGCTGCTCAATTTGGGCTCGAAGTCGTTCTCGCATAGCTTTGCGGCCATATCGAAATTTCATGCGGTATTCCGTGCACTGGCCGAAACGGAGGAGGCCCAGATCTGTATACTGCATAACATATTTGAGCTCTGGTCGTCGCACCAGCAGATGATGGTGGTGCTGATCGATAAGCTGCTCAAGCTGCAAATAGTCGACTGCTCGGCGGTGGCCACATGGATATTCTCCAAGGAAATGACCGGCGAATTCACAAAAATGTATCTCTGGGAAATACTGCATCTGACCATCAAGAAGATGAACAAGCACGTCATCAAGCTGAGTAAGTAGCCATTGAATAATTAGCCCACAGCTCCAGGACTTCAATGAACCCATTCGTTTTTACAGATACTGAGCTAAGTGAAGCTAAGGAGAAGCTCTCCAAGGCGGACTCATCGTCCAGCGATACGGATGAGGATACGCCGCACAAACGCAAGAAACCCATCACGCATGCAGATAAACCATCCGAGGAGGTAAGTCAGGTAATGCCTGAAATTTGCGTTGATTTACATTCCTACCATGCTTGCAGGTCGTCGAGCGCATGGAGGAGAAGCTGGAGGCTGCCAATGTGAATCAGAAGCGGTTGTTCCTGATCGTCTTCCAGCGCTTCATCATGATACTATCCGAGCATCTGTTGCGATCCGACACAGATGGACGCGATCCGGACACGGATTGGTATCGCTGGACGATTGGTCGCTTGCAGCAGGTCTTCCTTATGGTAGGTCGAAGGAATATGCATATATATTTCATAATTATAAATAATACTTATATAATTCCATCCTAATTCTCTCACAGCATCACGAGCAAGTGCAGAAATATAGCAGCACGCTGGAGACGCTTCTCTTCACATCCGATCTGGACTCCCACATATTGGAGGTGTTCCAGCAGTTTGTCGCACTCCGCGCCTAACAGATTTCAATAGCAAGAACAACAAAAACAACTACAACAACAATAATTGCTAGCTGCCTATTACATTGGCTCTGGCTCTGGATCAGCATCATGCGGCATGCAGCAGCCAAACAGCTGCGCTTCAAGCAGTCTTTTAGTTCGGATTTAGTTTTTAGTTTTTTTTATGTATGCATACAAATATAACTTTAACAATGGCAACACACACAACCAGAACATCTGCAGAAAACGACAAATTTTGTAATTTGCAAACAACAAAATGCACGAATTAAAGCAATGCAAGAAACAAATTTAGTGAAAGCATTTTGATCCTTGCGTTGCTTAAGATTGAATATCGTAGTATATAGCAGGGTTGAGAACGCATAATACTATACAAACTGTACCAGAGTGTATCTATGTAGGCATTACGTAAAATGCTTCATTTTGATACACATGTACAAGTTTCTATTCAAAATATCATTAGACTAGGCGAATCAATTAAGGATTACATTAGTCTAGACACGAACCTAGGTTCACGGCTACGAGCAGCGGAAAGGAGTTTCTTCGTGTTCCAATTGGAGTATGTTGGTAAAATGCAACTGGTGGGAAAGAGAACGATTCAATATAAAACGCATGGAATCATACAACATTACATACAACATTCTCTTATGCAAGTTTCGCGATTATATGCACAGTCGCCTGTAGAGCTTGAGCTCAATTTACTTTCGTCATGCAAGTTTTACACTCACTGTGTCACGGCTACTATTAGAGGTTTGATGTTGACTGTGCCAATAATAATGCCTGCAAGTAAAGCCAAATGAGGAAATGTGGAACGTAACAGAAAGCCCAGCATACTTTTAGGCATGGCCGAAATATAAAATATGCTCATTTTTCATAAGCAAGCTTRAACTTTTATTCGCACTCAGATCATGGTATATATATATATATGTATATATATCTATGTATTGTAAATATATATGGAATGCATTGCCTTTATATGTTTATAATAGTTATGAAAAAATATATGTTTGTCTCTGCGCAGCTGCTGCACATTTTGGCACCGGTTTCTGTTCCAGGCATCAGGCTCAACGGCGGAACTGTGATTGATCTATGAGGGCTGTGGGGCGGTAAGGGGTGGGCTATACTATTTGTATTTGATTGTTGCAGAATATCATCATCATCATCATCATCATCATCATCATCATCATCATCATCATCGTCATCATCATCATCATAATCTAGGAGGTGCGCGGCTGGCTGGGAACATACTTCTCCGAGGGCTGATACTGCCACTGGGCGCAGATGGTATCCTGCTCCGTCTGATTGTAGCCGGCTCTGGACGAAAGATATAAGATAAGAGATAAAGTAGATACAGGAGAGGGACAGAGAGGTGGAGAGAGTGCAACAGTCAACAGGTTCAGATGTGCTTAATTTATTGTTCAAAATAAAATTAAAAAAAAAAAATTATATTTATATATACAACAAAAACAAAAAGTTCGTAAYTTAAGGCATAACATGCAAGTGCTTTGGACATGCTGACTATGAATGCGTGCCAATCCGGTCCAGCTACTTAATACTGAGCGGGCATTGAGATGCTGATGAGATGAACTCAGGGATGAGCTGAGCAGCTCAGGTCATCTCCAGCCGTAGTCATAGCTGTAGGCATAGCGCGGCCTCGCCGCCGGCCGCTCGTAGTAGTAGCCCCTTGGGGGCGGCACCTCCCGACTGACCGGGGCGTGGAGGCTCTCCCAGAGCAGGCGTGGCCGCTGAACCACCTCGCGCAGTATGTTGACGGCGGCCAGGCCGACGCTGGCGAGCTTCACGCCGAAGCGTCGGGCCGTGTGCTTCAGCGGGGGCAGCGGGGCGGCGAGGGCGCGGCCCTGCGGCTGATCGAGAATCTTGGCAATGAGCTGCTCGGCATGCGGCGGCACATAGAGATCGGCCTGCCGATACTCGAGCGGGCACTGACGACGGCCGTAAAAGTAATCGTCGAACCTTTGGTGTGCCGAGCACGGGCTGCGCTCCTGGAAGCAGGTCACCTGCACCACATTGTAGAAGATCGCGCCCAGCGTGTTGGCCGTCTCCGTGTTGGCCGCCTGCAGGCAGCGCCTGAACCGCGCATCGCAATCGCAATGGGAGCGCGTGAAGGTGCCCCGGTTGCAGAGGCCGCGCCGGCAGTCGCCCACGTTGAGCACATCGGGGCACATGTCGTGCTCGCGACAGCAGCGATCCTCCCTTACATGCGGGCCCAGGTCGTCGTAGCTGGTGGCGGCGGTGCCTGGGCCGCACCACTTGGTGCCCGGATAGATGAAGCCCAGGCCGCCGCGAAACTCGTGCCCGTACGATCCCTGCCGCCGGCAGACCTCCTCCAGCTCCACGACCGACTCGCGCGGCACCTGGCGTATGCGTCGCGGATCCGACTGCAGCAGCATCCGCTGGATGTCGCCCCTGTTTGGGAAACGGACGAAACGGCTTACAGTTGCAGCTGTGGAACTCTGCTTGCCTGCCACTGGCCAACTCACCGATCCGTGTGCATCTTGCAGAAGGGATGCCGCGATGACAGCTCCACCATCATGGTCATCGTCATGTCCGATATGAGCACCGCGGAGCCGAAGCTCGGCGTCAATCGCTGGCTGAGCAGCAGCGCCAGCAGCAGCGATGTCAGCGTCACCGCCCGACGACTCATGACGTCAGCGCAAAGCAAGATCCGAGAGCGAGGCTGCAAGAGCGACAGAATGAGAGAGTGAATGAGGGATTGAATGAGAGAGTAAATGAGAGCATCCCCGTGAGAAGCGAATAGTACTGTTACCATTGGAGTAAGGATTTATATCTTGATTACAGTTCATTTGAAGAGGGGAGTGAATGACTAATCCAGTGCGGCTCGATGGGATTGGGTCAGCTCCGATTAAGTTCAACTGAACGAACTCATTTGAAATAGTGATGCAATTCAGTTATTAAATTTAGAATTATTAAATAGGCATTACCTAATTATATACCCCATACCATATACCATATCTATTGATATATGCTCCACAACCTTTCGTTCGAATTGGTTTTAAGAATTAGGTCTGCTATAGGAGTTTCTTCCAACAAATTAGTAGAGAATTCAAGACCCTAATTTGTGGGACTCACTGCAGGCAATAGAAAACGTTGTAGAGGCATAGCAGAATTTGATTTGTAACGAAACTCTAGGAGCGACGCTATAACCATATACATACGTTTGTCTGGGGACAAGAATTTTTGTCATAATAATCGTACGAACGCTATAAGCGGAGTCGGTATAACCGGATTCTACTGTATATCGTACTGCTAGTACCACATGCCAACGATCTTCAATGAGTTCCTGTTATCAGCAGAGCTTTAATCAATTAATCAAGTGGATCTCTTATAAGAAGTGCGGCTCCATCAAAAGTTTTCTTAGATCGGTCCCAAGCTTGAATCCGACCTTAAGGCTCAACGATAATTAGGCTTAACGATCTAGTTCAATATCAATATATATCACAAAGTCAATATATCAATATGTCAGTATATATATATATGTATATACATATATATCATAATATCATATCTTTGACATTTTTAGCATATTTTACAATCAGTT